TATATATATATATATATATATATATATATATATACATACACACACACACACACAAAGAGAGAGAGAGAGAGATATTTCAATTTTCATTTGCACAAATCCACTAATGCACAATAATTCATCTTTTAAATACGTATTTTTAAATGATTATGGAGTTCTTTTTCTTGTATGGGTCTTGAGATGTTGATAAATGATAATTCCAAGTTATGTGCTTTGGTGTATGCTTTTTGGAAATCAAATAGCTTTATTGGTCAACATTTGTTGAAATAAGTGAAAGTTTAAAATAAAGAAATATTTAAACATTAGCCATATTGCTTTTTTGTTTTAGTGGTATGATAGTAACAAATATCACTCATTATATGAAGTGATATTTTTGTGTGAGATTTAAGTATCTTTGACCTATTTTATGGAAGAATGGATTTATAAATGAGGATATAACTTCTTGAGTAGGGCTGTCAAAAAAGCTCGTTGTTCGCGAACAGCTCGTGTTTGGCTCGCTCGTTAAGTAAACGAGCCGAACACGAACAAGTTTTTAAAGCTCGAATTATAAACGAGATAAAAAAAATTATATAATTATTTATATAATAATATATTACTCATATTATTTACATAATAATATATTATATATATTTATATCTATGTTTAAATCATAATTGCTCTTGTGGTACTGTAGTTATGTGCCTTGTTTTGCATATATTTGATCCAGGTTCGAATCCAACACTCTACATCTATTTTTTCAATTTAATTTTAACGAGCCAATTTCGAGCCGAACACGAGCCGAACACGAACACGAATATATAAATTGAGTCGAACACGAACACACTGTTCACGAATAGGTTTCGAACACGAGCCGATTTCGAACATGAGCAATTTCGAACGAGCCAAACACGAGCCAAGCTCATTTACAACCCTATTCTTGAGTTGATGCTTGTATTGCAGAATTAAGAATTTTTATATGATATGGTAAAATTAAAAAGATAAATTGAAGAATGATTATGTTTTAGAGGGTTGATTGGAGTAAACATGTATCAAAGATGGATGGTTAACAATGTAGGATTTTGTTGGATATGTATAATGAATGATAGAAGATGCATGGATATCGTAATTCATAAACCCAACCCCAACTATGTTTGAATATGGCTAATGATGATTATGATGGATGAATGCATACCAATACTAAACCCACTTGGTGTTTTGATTGAAGTATTTCCATATCCCTAATGTTATGCTTATCTTTTATTAGATTTGAGGTAGGTTTTGTTTGTTAGTGTTGTTGTTAACCATGAAAGGAGAATGCCGATTTTTAAATTTTAATATCCTTGTGGGAACTATATTGGGTGGAATTATTGTTGGATGTGTTTGGATAAATTTACTATCATTAAAGGTTTAACAAAATTTATGGTTGCAGAATTGGTTTCCATCTTAGAATAATTCAAAAAAATAGAAGGTGCTTGTAAACTACTAAATTGGGTACTAGCAGTACATTTCTAGAACCTTCAAAGCTGATTTTGTGAGGTGATTTGTGATGGCAAGACTATGCATGGATAAGTCAAATCTTCATTTTGAGCTTATGATCTTCATGTTGACCCTTTACTTGATTTATAGGATTTTGTGGATACCAGGTCAATATACTGCATGTAGAAACCCGTATCAGTTCATGATTTTAGCTGGCATTATGCTGATAGGAGCTTAGGCTCATTTGGCTGCTTGAAGTTAGAAAACTTGCTTGGACAAACGGTGAATTCACTTGATCTTGTCATCAGGTTGAATGCTAGTAGAAGTCAATACTGATTTTAAAATTAACAACTCTTTTAAAATCTCTAAAAAATGTTGAGTTTATTTTCATACATAACGAGTGAAAGAAGGAATCGTTTCTCTAAAGCAACCAACTGAGTCGTTACTATAGTTATGATACCTTTAGTTGATTCTCTTAGCAATAAACATGAGCTCAAATCTGTTAAATAATGACTTGTGTTCTTATATGTAAGTACACCCATTTTATCATATGCCATCTTTTAATTGAAATTAATCATGTGTTCAAATTTGCTTTGTTAATGAGCTCCTGTCCATTAATTAGCATATTCGTGATAAAACTGTAAGCTCTTGGATTTTCTTTCATATTTAGGTTGCCTTTAAGACCAAGGTCTTCCACCCAAATATTAATAGCAACGGGAGCATCTGTTTGGATATTCTGAAGGAACAGTGGAGCCCTGCACTGACCATTTCGAAGGTACAGAGTTTCATTCGGCTATTAATGATTGTTGCTCTTCACGATAATATTTTAGCTGTTTTTCAGTCTTGTCAGGGATTTGAACTTCGAGGGCTGGAGCCCTACAGAATTGTTTTACTTCCAGTAATTTTTTTTTTCTTGTAAAATTTTGTTAAAAATTACGTGTCAAAGCGAGCTACTATCAGAGCACTTTATGCTTGTTATATTATTATTATGGGGTTTCCAAGCAACCTATTATCAGTGGCAGCGAAGATCTTCATTTTCTTTTGGGAAAATATTTGCAATTAAATTGACATCATTATCCTTTTCTTCCCTTCTATTTGTTGTTTCTGTGTTCAAGAATGCAGCGGTGGGTTTTATTCATTTTATATCTATGGGGAATATATATATATATCTTGAATTTTAGGTGTCTACATAGGGATTGAGTGGTATGTAGGTAAATCTTCTGTTTATTTTTTCTCAAGTCACGGAAGAAAATATTTGGCTTCAGAATTATTGTTCACATCCTACTAATTTTATCATCTTTTGTTGATAAACAGGTCCTGCTATCTATCTGCTCGCTTTTGACTGACCCAAACCCGGATGACCCACTTGTGCCTGAGATTGCTCAGATGTATAAGACTGACCGATCCAAGTATGAGGCCACAGCTCGCAACTGGACCCAGAAGTATGCCATGGGATGAAAGACACTCAGCCACTCCAATCCACCTCTTCGTTTAGATTGATTAGATATTCAATTTCTTTTTTTTTTCCCTGAAAAACGATGGGTTTCATCTTTGTTGTGGTTCATGCGCTGCTGTCAATTGAATACCAGGCTTTCATTCACACTCTCCAGTTAACTGGATTTCGTAACTTTAAAATTGCTTAAGTTTTAAACTTTTTCATACTTGCGTTACTATCCTCGTTTTTTCAATTGTTCTTTTTAAATTGGGAATATCAAAAAGCTGATTTATGTGGTGCGTGAGCCTTATACCACTCATGTAACTTATGCCGTATCTGAAATCCTTGGCATTATTATTTTTTTTTGGAAAAAAATATATGTATATCACACAATTCTTATGTATTTACATATCTAACACACTTTGATATTCATACTTATATCATTTTGGTGTCATAAATATATGTATGAAATTATACATTTAACTTTTAAAAAATGACGGTGATTGTGATATTTTTGATGTAATGTTAAAGATTTGAATGACATGTAGTTAAATATGGATGTTTAGATGTTAGTTATGTAATTATATAAGAATTGATATGTGTGCATGTCCTTTTTTTTTGTTTGGCAAATATGCGTGGCATAACATTATTAATTTAAATTTAAAATCAAATTGTAATTTAGACAGTTGACCAAATTTGCTAAATGATATATAGGGGTGTAAAAGTGTTGAGCTTGAGCAAATTCAGTGCTTGTTCATTCTTAATGTCCAATATTTGCCATAAGATGGGTCAATCATATCAAGTAATATATGAATAAAGAGCAAATGTCAATCACACAAAAAATTGTCAAATTTTTATAGAAAGGGAAGTTCTAGTTTACTAAACTTTTGAATCTAATTAGAAGTGTAAGATGTGCAAATAGTAGAGCTTTTGAAATCTTAGAAGGCATAAAACTAAATTAAATCTTGTTGAAGTTTTTCAAGATAAAAGTTCAGTGATTTAATGATGTTTTTCCCATGAAATATCACATTATTGTTGACAACTAGGGAAAAATTCTTAATATATATCTAGGTTATAAGAAATGTTGAAAATCATATTAATTAACTATGCAGTTGTTTCCAGGAATCCTCTACTCCCTATTTAGGTTGCAGTATTCTAGTGATAATATGTCTATTTCATTAGGCTATTGTGTGTTAATCTATTTGTTCTTCTAGGTGATGGTTATAAATCTTGAATCAAAAAGGATTTTAACATCATATTGGGTCATATTCGAAGTAAAATAAGATTAGCAAGCTATTAACACATAAAATTTAATTATAGAAAAGAAGTCCCTAGGATAAAATGAGAAAACTATGTGCCTTACATCAAATGAGTATAAAAATGAGATTAAGCACAATGCATAAGAAAACAAAACACTAAATTGTTATGATGTGCATAAAAGGAAAAACAATGCAAAAAGCACAAAAAACTCACATTCCAACCAAACGATCCTTACAAACATTGTAGTCCTTTATTAAATACATGTTTTTCGTAGATCCCTCTCATGCGGCTGCACTAATTTTCTCCTCACAGCCTCTCCTTGCTCTTAAAAACAAACATAGAAATCTTCTTCAAAGGAAAAGTAATGGAGAAAACCCTAGGGTTTATAAGACTCCTTAAAGAACAAGAAAAAAAGTCAAACTCTGATATCCCAAAAGTCCTTAATTAACCCATATTATGTATGCATATAGCTCTTGTCAAAATCATAATGGAAAAACTGGCCAATTTAAGCCTCAATGGTCGCGGCGTAGCTACACCCATGCTTGACGTAGTTTCACAGCTAGCCTAACGTAATTACGCTGGACCAATTGCAAGGATGACGTAATTATGCTGCATAATGATGTAATTACGTCATGTCAACATTCTTGCATGCTTCATGTTTTGCCTCTGCAACACATCATTACCCCTTGTAACCTACAAAATACCGTCAAGAAAGTGTAAAATTATGATAAATATAGAAGAAAAATATGATATTTAAAGCAAAGAAATCACGTAAATTTGAGTTGTATTGATTCCCTTAAACTTACTCATTATTTGCCCTTAAATAATCTCATATCTAACTGGGACTCAAATAATGTTTGTAGCTCATGTGAGATTTTTTGATATTCTAATAAGATTATATAGGTCTAAGAAAATAAATGAAAATATCATTTCGCGTCGGATTCTCATTAAATTCCAATAACATAGTCTTTTCCTTAATTCTAAAATCTCTTAATTTTTAATATATATAATATTTAAGTATTCAATTAAAAAGATTTTTAAGCCTTTTTGTTTTAGAAAGAAAGTAGACTTTTTTTATTTTTCATGCTCAAGCGCATACTTTTCAAAAATGATTGGGCGCTTCTTTTTCTTTTGACTTTTCTTTTGAACTTATTGCATTGCACAATTTTTTCTTTTTCTTTTTTTCCTTTTGAGGCTCAAAATTATATTTAATTTGACTGAAAATTATTATATCTGGTCGAGCATATTTCTTTTAAGGTTTTGAAATGTTTAGTTTCTCCCAACTTCTATTCCTTCAAGGCTCCTTAACACGAATTCCCAAATATTAAAATTCATTTAAAAGCTAAGAACTATTAAATTGTTTGAGGTGAAAATTCAAATGCTTCAATTTCTCTGGTTAATTTTATACTCTTCTAATTGTTTCGTGACTTGTTAGTGTTTAGATATAAGTTCTTAAAGTGGACTCAATTATTAGGATATTATTTTTAACCCCCTTTAATGAATATTTACAGTTTAATGAAATTTTTATCTAATCCAGTTAAATTATCAGGCTTTTCATCATGAGTCACTATTCTAAAGTATGATCAGCAACTTATATTCGTGAATTACTCTCGGGCAAGTGTACATGCATAACTCTCTCCCCCAAACTTGTTTTATCTTATGCATTTCATATGAAATGTGAAAAGAATCTAGCATGCAAAAATAAAGACTCTAAATCAGAAAACATATCACATCAAAACAACACATGGAGATCAACGAGTGTAACATATAATTGTGCAAAAAAATAATATGAGTTTACATCAAAGCATCAACATGCAAAGTCTAAATGTGATAAATCCACTCAACTTGGGGCAAGATTTCACCAAACTAACATGATAGTTGATAAGTATACAAATCATACACTTAAAATTAAATTCAAATCAAACTCGATGCAAATTTCAAAGTGAAAACATTCCCAAAGCATATAATGTTTGGGTTGCTTCCCAAGATAATAATTGATTTAAAGTCTTTAGTCAAACTTAAGGTCAAAACAATCCTAATATATTTTTTTATTTAGGCCCAAAATTTCATTTCAGTAATTCCTAATCAATTACCCAATATTTTGTTTGCCTTAGAATTTTCTCTAAATCTTCCAATTTTGAAATTTATTACAACTTCTCAGTCAATTTAATGACAGTGCTAAAGGGTATGTAGGGGGTTGATTCAAATTATAATTCACAAGTGTGTTTTCTAGATACAAAATCTCCCAATTAAATTTTTTCTTTGCATATAAGTATCCCCCCACCATCTACAAGAAATGGTTCCCTAGGAGACGTTCTAGGGTTTCCATTCTGCCAATTTTATTTGTTAGGGCTTACATTCGTGTGAAACGACCACACAAATAATTTGGAAGATGTGAGGATTTAAGTTGTGACAAACGACAACTTCGGAATCCTAAGATGAGTTAGGGCTTATATTGTATAGTAGAGCTATGCAAAGTCCTAAAGATAAGGTGAGGATTTACTTTGCATAAGCAAGAAACCTAAGTCCTATGAATTTGTCATTTAAGTCTAAGGAAGGAATATTGGTTTAGCTGGGGAAGACAGATTTTGCTGTTAAGGATGGTCGTGCTGCCCACCATGCTAGCTCCAAGCTCCTCACCGCGATGAGTTTGAGTTTTCTAGTGTGTTAAGTTATAATGTCAAATCAGGTGGCCCTATGATTGAAGTTCTTTAAATTTTATAGGGGCATGTTAAAGTTGATTAGAGCGACACCGGTTAGGATCCTA